TTTGAAATTCGATACTAGATAATACGCGCTATTAGCCCTTGGGCACAGAACTTAATTAATCATAAACGAAAAGCGATTAGATCTGAGAGAAAGAACACTAAATCTAAAGTAGAAAAGAAAACCTTATTGGAATTGAAATTTGGCCAAAATCAACGAAAAGAAGTAGAGAGGAAACCAAAGTAAGATAGATTATGACTTATTTTCTTGTTGAACTTGATTATTTGTACCGAAGTATTGAACAGATCCTATTGTCACGATATATTCTCTACATATTAATTTTATATTTGTTGTCTTTGATTAAATGACAAAATATCCTTGTATTTTTCTTGAAATACTATCCAAACCGTGTTAATATTCTATAAAAAAAGTGTTGTAGGGTAGTTTACTAAGCAAGAGAACATATTTTACAATTGTTTTTTTTGAAAATGTTTCCAACTTTGTACTTTGATTTCGCGTAACCTTTTTTTCATTCACATTTTTGCAAACGTACATTGCCATTTAATTAATAAAAAAACTTACTGACGTCAACCGTTCGGGCAGTACGGGAAAATATCCAACCTCGGTCTTGCTGTATTGACCTCGCTATCGCTGTATATTGACCTCGCTATCGCTCCTGTACTGCCCTCATTCTCAGTTATTAGTACTAACTTCTATAGTAGAACCACGATTTGACATACAGCAGAATAATATGTATCTTAATATTGAAAATCTCTTTTCACTCTGCCTTTATACATGCCATAGGGAATTTCTCGTATGGATGGATGGTCAAGGAGCCATATCTTGAAATATTATTACACTATCTTATCTAGCTAATACACATCGACAGGAAAATATTGTAATAGAGATGCTCCAGACTTTTGGACACGGCCAATTGTTAGTTGGCATGAAAAATTCGATCTAAGAAATGAATTTTAAAGCTAAGGCGGTCAATGGTTCACTGCAATGGTCCACTGAAATAAAAAAATTGGTTCTACTGCTCCATTTTTACTAGTTTTGAAATCAAAATTTATTTCTTAAATTAATGTTTCGGTGCCTACAAATAATTAGCTGTGTAGAAGTCAAGAACAGATAGCCGATAGGGGTATTACCAGCCTAGACCTAGGCCTTCTATTTTTATTTATTATTTTTTAATATTCAGCGCTTTTTCACATGAAAAGACTGGGACTAGGTGATTTGGGGGCGGGGCGGAGGAAGGACACAAGCCTGACGCAAGCGAAAAAATAGAAGGCCTAGTGGATTTCCCAACAACAAGGCAAAAACTGCCCTGAAACTGCCCTGATTGCGAAATGCCCAATTGTTGCGTTCTCAAACAGAATTATTTGCAACTTAACAGCGAATTTAAATCGATACAGGTAAAATAAACTCATTTATAGTATAAACTTACTATTTTTATTTGTATACACGTCTAGAAAATCGGGGTTTTTATCATAAAGTTTGAAGCAACACTATTTATATATGTTGACAAGGTGTAGCGAAACGGCACAAAATAATAATTCTTTTATTCGCAAGACAATCTACTGTTTTGCTTTGAATAACTATATTTGCGAATTGGGAATGAGGATTTTGAAATTATTGTTCAAATATTACGGATATACCATTTGTAAACAATGTACGTTTTTATATTATACAGTACTGTACGGGCTAATAATATATGTACCGTTTTATTTAATAAATTATAATTGTATATGTGTTTGTATATTTTACAAACCAGAAGACTGCTTCTTGCCAAAATTGAGAAAATAGATATTAATGTAGTTGTGTATAAGACAAAATTTCATGAAAGATTCTACTTTTGGTATATATTTTGACTCATTTTGTGCTTTCGCTACACCTTGTCAACATATTAAATAATAGTGTTGCTTCGAACTTTATGATAAAAACCCCGATTCAGGCTAGACGTGTATACAAATAAAAATAGTAAGTTTATTCTATAAATGAGTTTATTTTACCTGTATCGGTTTAAATTCGCCGTTAAGTTGCAAATAATTCTGTTTGAGAACGCAATACTTGGGCATTTCGCAACCAGGGCAGTTTCAGGGCAGTTTTGGCCTTGTTGTTGGGAAATCCACTAGACCTTCTAGGTTTGCTTCCTCCGCCCCGCCCCCAAATCACCTAGTCCCAGTCTTTTCATGTGAAAAAGCGCTGAATATTAAAAATATATAAATAAGACTAGAAGGCCTAGGTCTAGGCTGGGGTATTACATTGTTTTCTGGACAAGTTGTTTTCTGCACTAACCTAGCTAATACAATTACCCCGCCAAAACCCGCAATGAATTATAAAAAAAAGCAATGTTGGTCCTTACCTAATCAACTGACGTAGTTTTCTTTAATATCCTTCAAGAAATGTGCCAAACTTCTGATGCAAACTAGTTCTGAGGTAGCGCACGAAGCTAAGGGACCGGTCATTATTTATGGCGGGGGGTGGCACCGAAAAGAAAATGGTTGGGTAAACTAAATTTTGAGTAAGTAAAAGGTTGGGTAAATGAAAAACAAAACAACTCAAGGGTTGGGTAATAAAAAGTTATAGTCATATGTCAATACAATATGTGAATCAATCAGTCACTGTCTTGATCATTTTCCAATTTGTTAGAAGACAAATGGTGTCTCCAAAGAAAGCATGTGTGCAGACATGATACATTAGACTGCAGCAAATTTCACAAGCAGTTATCAAACTCCTGTCACAGAAATCGGGTAAAGGACATATGTGACAACTGAATGGTAACCTTTTGTAAAGTTTAATTTTGGCCAGGGGTGGGTATTTATTTTTTACTTGATATTTGAGGTTGGGTAATCAAATTTTTGACTTTTTAATGGTTGGGTCAGCAAAATGTTTGCCACGAAAAACATTTCTCTTCGGTGCCACCCCCCCCCACCATAAATAATGACCCGTCCCTTAGTGGGTTAAAATGACATCGAATGCCTATGCAGTTTTGGCCATGGCGCAACCTACACTAAAAGTGGTCTTCTAAATTATACACCATTGTATCAGAACAAGATCTAGAAGTTTGCTGTAATAATGTTGTTTTTATTTAACAGCATTATTCAAGTTTTGAGCCAAAACATGGTAAAGGCGGACGTTCATCATTTAGTGGTGTGGTAGCAACTGTCTTTGGAGCAACTGGATTTCTGGGAAGATATGTCGTCAATAGATTGGGTGAGTTTATAATATTGTATCCCCGATATAGGAGATCATGGTGCGATAATTCAATATTTTTAGCCGTACCTGACTGGTACTCCAACAATTTTTGCCGCGTACTTGAGCTGGTACAAACTTAAGAGACAAGGTGTACCTAATGCTACTTATGAGTAAAAATTAATGAATTTTATATATTTAATAAATACGTTTGCTAGCTAGTACGCAATATATTACACATAAAACTGAATGCTCCACATTTATTCATTTGGCTAGTTCATGATAAACATTTTAATTGGATTGCCAATAACCAGAAATAAAACTTAAGATTTCCAACAGCCAAAAATGTTTCGATCACATTGAATGGTTTACTGGCCTAAAACAGGGGTTTCAGAATGATTTGAAGTAGGCGGTTGTACCAAAAAAGTAGCCGGCTGTGACTGATAGTTAAAAAATCGCGCGGGGAGGGAAGCGTGCCCTCGCATGGAAATTTAAAAGCTTTTCGCCGCAAATTAACAATCAAATAATATAGAATACGTAAAAAGACAAAGTACAACTATTAACATGTTAGATTTTGATGTCATTTGCATTTAGAGGTGGATCATTTGATTTTTGAGGGAGGGGGGGTGGGGGGGTGGAAGATTCAGTCTGTGCAAGAATTTTTTTTCCGCCCAGGGGAATAAGACCGATATTTTTTTCCTGTAAAAGTGCAGCGCAAGATTTTTTTCCCAATATATTTCGCGGCAGGATATTTTTTTTGCCCCTCATAATAACTGCTTACAGTAACTTAAGGCTTTCATATAGGCATATAGCTATCGTAAGAGAAGTTAGCCAGGGTTTTCAGTCAGAGGAGGCCGAGCCTGAATCCCAAGAGGGGCCAAGGAATTTTCACTGTGCTTTATTTTATATGGTTATGTCTTAATGTTCCCCACACTAAAGCATGCAGGTTTACTTACAAAAAATGTATAACTGTACCAAAACCTAAAGCATGTAGGGATAGAGTAGAGTACTCGAAAATGGGGGAGGTATAGTATATGAATGACCTGTAACCTTGGGGGAAAATGTTAAAATTTGAACCTCGGAAATGCTATTTCCTGCGTTTTCAGCCATGATTTCGTGCAACAACTTTGCTGTACTAAGCCTAAGGAACACTTACTGTCCTTTATTTTAAACAAGGGAAAATCACAAAATGAGCTTTGATTAATATGTAATAAAACAAGATTTCAATAATGCGATTTTTAACTGCCCTCCGAAACAACAATGTTCCACAAAATATAGCTCTGTAGCTTTTCAATCATTCATACAAATAGCTTGTTGGGGATCGGTTTGCATCCTCTTCAGAAATGTTTTAAAATCTAGACTCTCTAAACTGGCATTTTCGCATTAAAATCATCGTATGGTGCCTTTAATAGTTTGGAGATATGTTATCAAAAAACGCACACAGACTCAACCATCCAAAAATACTTTTTCTACCATGCATATTAGATATGTATAAATAACTTATAAACTTGTACATATCTTAAGCCCAGATTTTCTCAGGGGGGGGGGCAACAATTTT